ATTTCTACGATCTTTACCTCTTCAACAAAGAATTCAGCTTCTAGAGTTCAGCACAGTTAAGATGTTTTTTGAAATAAATGTTGCCACAAATGCATCATAATCATATTAGTAATAAGTGGTAATAAAGAAAAAAAGGATATTCAATGAGGAAATGGACTTGTTCAAATTTCACTGATATACAGAGTGAAAAATGAAAGAAGAAAAATTAGAAATAAGAGATGAAGGAAAGATTAAAGGAGAATGGAAGAAAAGAAGGGAAGATGGAGAGAAGGGAAGAAGTCAAGTAGTGTGAAAAGTAGAAAAGATCTTAATTAAATGACATTTTTTACTTAAAGGATTTAATGAAGCTAAAATATATAGTGTTCAGATATCACCCCTATCTAAAGAAAATACATCATGATGATCTAGATTTCTTTATTATATATATACATATATACATGTATATCTACATATATACATATATGTAGATATACATTATATATATATGTTAGAGTTTATTTGGGCTTACGGTTCCAAAATAATAGAGTTCATCATGGTTGGGATTCTTTGCAGCAGAGGCAAGAGGCACAGAAAACTAAATTCTGATATCTTTCAAACACTCTCAGAAAGCAGAGATAGAGTAAACTGGAAGTAGGATGTGACTATGAATTCTCAAAGCTCACCCCAGTGACATCATTCCTCCAGCAAGGCAGCACTTCCTAAGCTTCTGCAAACAGTTGCCAACTGGGGCCAAGTATTCAAATACATGAGTCTATGGGGGCATCTCTTACTCACCCATCTCAATTCAGCCAAACACAGAACCCTAAGCTCAAACAATAAATTGTGTAATAAATCCTTAGAATGAAATTATAAAACTCATGTGGCATTGAACATTGCCTAGCTTTTAATGTCAGTTTTTTTTTAATAAATATCTCCAAAGTATGATTCTAAAAATAAAACAAAGGCAATGAGGAGCCATAGGTATATATGCTTTAAAATGACACTAAAAGAGGCAATGGAAAATGGAGAGGATGTTTGATTTAAATTAAAGGAAAATAGTAGACACACATTCATTTTTCATTGCTTTAAAAATTTAGCAATGGACAGGCTGGCAAAATAGCTTACTGGGTAAAAAGCCTGCATTGTAAAACTGGTGATCTGAATTTGATACCCGGAACCCACAGAAAGGTAGAAGGAAAAGGGTGTAATCCATAGTTTTCCTCTGATGCCCACACATTTGCTACAGCACATGCTCACCCACACCCTATCTTCAACATTACTACTACTACTACTACTACTACTACTACTACTACTACTACTACTACTGCTGCTACTACTACTACTACTAATAATAATAAATAAGTTTTTAAAGAGAAGTGGATATTAAAGTTGATAACTTTTCCCTTAGATAACCTGTCTACTTGGACATGATATCATGAAAAGCTTTTAAATGATGTCAGGTAGAGACAGTCACAGGTCTGTTGACTCAACCAAGTTCTTAGATTGTTGCTACCAGCAGTATGCTATTCTTCTATGAGAAATCAGGAGAATTTGAAAGCAAAACACATGGGGCTCTACCTCTTGGAATATGCATAAAAAATAAAGTAGAATTTTAAAGCATAGTAAAGTTTTGTTTGATAAAAAAAGAAAAAAAAAAAAAAAAGAACCAAAGGAGTAAAGGGGAAAAACATTGAATCTTAAAACTTGTAACTGACAATTTGGAAACATGGTCCCCATTGTGAACACAATATGGCAGGTTTACAAGCTTGATAACCATGCATAGCTGTTTAATACTGTCTTTATTTGAGTTTGGGGTACAATATGTTTTGAAAATATTTCCTGGAATCATTAGTGTGGATCCATCACATACAAAGTGGTCCTTGCATACACCACTGGACTCGTGCTTGCAGGCTTGCTCAGAGCATAAATGAAACTATATAAAATTGTCAGAGGAGTGCCTGGAGCAGTCTCTGAATGTTAGAGATTACATTCCAGTTTTTGTAATTGCTATTATTAATAAACTTACAGTCAATCACCAAATAGTTACATATATTAGAATAATTAAAATCAATTTTAACATATAATTGATGCAGTCTGTATGAGTGGGCTGAGGGACTGAGGGAGTACAAATCTGCAGAAACTAAAAAGAATTTGAGAACCATCACCTTCTTAGACTGTTGGGTATTAACATTAAAGGAAAACTTAATCTCTAAAACGGTTAATTTTCTGTGCCACTTGTTAAAAATATAAATCTTCAAGCAAATCAGAAATTAAAGAAAAATCATTATTACTAATGTTTTGTTTACTAACACAAAGTTTTATTTATTTATTTATTTGTTTATTTGTTTATTTATTTATTTATTATTTGTCTTTTTGAGGCAGGGTCTTCCAGTACTCACAGTTGACCTGGAACTTGTTATATAGCTCAGGATGGCCTTGATAGCACAGAGATCCACCTGCCTCTGTCTCAGGAGTGCTTGTATTAAAGGCGTGTGCCACCACAGCTTGCCCACAAGGTCTTATTTCATATGCCAGGCTACTTGACAATCCTCCTGCCTTAGTCTTCCACATGCTGGGGTTATAGGTGTGAGCAACCACAACTGGGTTCAAACATAAATTTTAAGCAACTGGAGGTACTCTTCCACTTATAGAAATTTCTATAGCACAAGAAACCAGGCCCATTACAGGGCTCAGGGACCATTGTGGAAGAGGAGGCAGAAAGACTGTAAGAACCAAGAAGGAGGTGCATGATCAAATGGAAATAGAATCCTACAGACTCCTGGAACCTTGCTCATATGAACCTACAGCAATGGCGTCAGTATGCACAAGAGCTATGTAAACTCGCAGACAAAACCCTAGCACAGAACTTGGAAATGGGCATCAGGCCCCAATATTAGTCAAATAATTATGAATAGTTGATTACTGCTGGATGAGAAATAGCTGATTTTCTTAAAGGGGGGAAATCTAGATAGGCTGACTAGACTTCAGTGAATGAACTTACACTAATGAACATCTGGGGACACTAACTTGACATGATAGGCCTTAACATAAATGACAGAATGTATGAACTTGTGGGGGATGGGGGGCTATATGGGAGGTGCCACTGAGGAAGGGGGTATAAAGATGATTAAGACCGATTAAGAAATTCTGTATGAAACACACTAAATTCAATAAAATTTTACCCCCCAAAAAAATACATATACCAAGTGAAATATCCCAGGGTCCCAAAGATAAAACATTGCAACTTCTCTCTCATAAGGGAGTTCTAGCTTCAAATCTTCTGTTGTATGTATTTAACATTGAGGGCATTTTGAAACTAGGAAACTAGAAATGGGCCATTTTGAAGGGCAGTGCATTTGGAGAGGGGCTACAGAAGAATATAGGTGAAATGGAAGTAGAGGGGAGATACCGGGAGCAGAAAGTTTCAAGCAGGTGTGAGAATGATGGGGATGAGGAATGAAGGGACCGCCTAAACAAACTGAAGCACACATGAAGTAGCTACTTAAGAACCTATGATCCTAAATTGCAAACAAATGAAAATATATAATAAGAGGGGATAGAAAATACATTTGACATGAAAGGAGGGGGAGAATCTAAAGAAGTCATGGTTTAAGAGGAGATGGGGACACCGGAGTTGGAGAAATGGGGGGAGGGGCACATTCATCAAAACTGATACTGTATGAAGAAGAATTAGGAAACCACAGCAGTTTGCAAGCTAATTTAAAATACAGTTTTTTAAAGGAGTTAGAATAGAAGTATCATACATTAGTCAATAATGCTGACCTCAGAAGACATGGTTTATTAAAGGAAAACTTCAGCACCAGGTAGGAATTGCCTCCCTAAGAATCACTGGTCAGAGAGTTCCCAGAGCCTCTCAGAACAATTCAGGTTATTGCTATTGCTCTTGGTTGCCCAAGATAACTAGATGATAAGACCGAATTGCTGAAGATGTTTTGTTCATAGGGCACAGAGAAATCAATCTTAAACTGATGATAAAACTCTCCCCCCTGGCTAGCTTCCCTAATGCTCTAAGGTGCTATGCAGGTGTCTTCGGGAAAGAAGACATCAATGGTCTTATTCAGCCCTGAATCCTATATGCTATCTTGGCATGTCCTGCCAGACAAGATGTGTTCATTGGTGCAATAGTGGCAAGATTGCTTACAGTGGTGTAACCAACTGCTCTCCTGATTGGATTTGAGGCCTGTTCTACAAGGGTCACATTATCAATCTGCCTTCTAAGTATTTATGTTTATATAAACAGATTGATGCTGCTTACAGTCTTTGTCAGAAAAATCTTATTGCAGTGAATAGTGGTTAGAGACACATTACCATTCAAAGTGCTAAGAAAAAGAAAAGAGACTGTAAGTACTCTACAATATATGGGACAACTTTATCAGCATCCGACACAAGGCTCAGGAGTGCTGTGAAGTGTTTTCCTCTCGACATGACATAGCTGCTGCACATATGAACTCACAGCAGCACAGTTACAGACACAAGACATGTATAAGATCAAGCCAGTTGAAAGTTCCAGCATGGATTTGGAAGGGGTTCCTGAGGACAGAGAATCACTTTTCTTTTGGGGTATAGTCACTAGAAGGTTTTCTATGCCCCAGTGGATGACCCCACATTTATCTGCATATGGCAGCACCAATTAGACTCAGTGGGTTAAAAAATAAAGTTTAGAAATTATAAAAGGAGGACATGAAGTTTGGAAGGATATTTAATGGGGAGGCTGGAGAAGTTGAGGTGAGGGGGACGGACAAAGTCACGATTCTTTGAATACATGTAAGAAATGTAACTTTAAAAAAAGAATATAAGATTCAGTAATGCATATTGACAAAATATAAATATACTTTTCTTTCTGGGCAGTTTTAGGTAATCTAGTTTCATCTTAATTTTATTTATCATTTATCACAAACCCTCAAACATCTGATTTAGGTAATAAAATATATCACAAATACTTGGAAAAGCATTCCTAAGTTGAGGTTTTTGATGTAGAGATTTTTATTTTTTTAACATACCGAGGCCTTGTTTTTAAGCTTCCTGTCTCTAGTAGTTTTTCCTTTACTGTTGCTAGTAAAATAATGCAAGGTTCCATATTCCATCAAAGCTGCAAACACAAAAATGAAACAAACAGAAACAAAGAGATCCATCGCAGTCACATAGGAAACCTTAGGTAAAGACTTCCTGGCAATCGTGCTCAGGGTTGTCATCGTCAAGACTGTAGTGATACCTGTGGAGAGAGAGGGGAAGAGAATAGGGAATTAAAAGCAATTTAACAGAGCTTTTTCATTCCTTCATGCAATTTGGCAATATTGTCAGCTGAAATAAACAATGGAAACAAAAGGATATGATTACCTGTGATTTACAGAAAGAATTACTAGTAACCATGGCTACAGTATGTTTCGTGTTTTCTTTGTGTCAGGAATTTTAATGATTTAAATTACTATTGATTACAGGTTGGGTCAGCTCCCAGGATTCATTCTATTCTTCCTCCATAGTTTTGAAATCACCACTTCTTTAATTGTCATGTGGCTTTCTGAAAGACCAAGTTTGTTGGCCACCTTCTTTGAGCATAGGGAAGATCTTTGCAAGGGTAAGATACCACCAAAGAGAATTAAGCCCAAATGAAAGTAATGCAAAAAAGATGATGCTAAAGGTCTGAGAATGCCCTGTTTATTTCTTTGTTCTCCTCTTTGGAGTCCTGCAATACAGTGGGCAGAAGCCAGTAGCTACCTTAGAATATAAATTGACTGGAAATTGAAATCACTCACAACACAACTGAAAGCCAGAAGGACCCTGAATCTGTCTTACCACAGTGTGCTATGCCACACTGAACCACCTGTTTGGAACTGTACAGGAGAAACAAGTACATTTCAACTTGCTTGAAACAGTAGTAATTTTTTTTTTGCTATACACAGATAAAATTAACACAAATTAATGTAGAAGGTTCTCATAAAACTTCAACTTATTTTTTAAAACTCCAAGTTTAAACAGAGAAGATCATGAGTGAATCTCAGATATCAGACACGGAGCTACTTTGCTGGACTTTGGTTTTACTTATGTATGCCTTGGTTCTTCCCTCTTGAAATAAGAGATTATATAGGCATCCTATCCAGAGACACGCTATCTGCAGCCTATTATTCTCTAGACCTTGACCAGTTGTAGCCTTCTGTGTTTATCATATTCTGTTGTTTGAGGGAGCTTTCTGGATAAGATTTAAGGGATGCACTAGTATTCTCTCTGCCCCCTATTCTGCTATGTTCCATGAGCCTTAGGAGGTCTACCATAGATGTGTCACTTAGGGCTAGGTATCTCCCAGACACTTATTCTCTGTGTGTGACAAGTTGTGGAGCACTGTAATAGGCTCCATCTCTTTCCAAAAAAAGAGCTTCCCTGATGAGTGGTGAATGCTATACTTGTCTATAAATACAAGGATTCATTTTTAGCATATAATAAGAAATTACTTTCATCTAGGGATATGAAAGAGATAGGGTTTTCCTCTAGAAAAAAATATGATAAAAACTATACATTGAGAAAAATAAAATAAAAAAGGGAGTGTGTAACATGTTTTAGATTTTACAGGAGCCTACAGTTAAGAGACTTTTTAAAGAGACTTTGAACTTTTAAAATGTTTGAATGTTTTAAAGACTGCATGACTTTAAAACTTGTACTATGTTTATAATGTGATACTAGTATTAACATGAGATCTTGGGGATAAAAACCTGGGATGTTTATGGTTTAATTATGACTCGTTTGTGAGTCAAGTTGACAAGGGGTCAAGCATGCTTTATCTATCTTTGTTGTCAATTTGACACACCCCAGAAGAGGGAACCTCAATTGGGGAATTTTCTCTATCAGATTCCTTTGGGCATGTCTGGGAAGCATTTTCTTGGTTGTTGAGTGATGTGGGAGGGCCCAGCCCATTGTGGTCCTGGATTTTTTTAAAGAAAGCAGGCTGAGTATGGGCCAGGCAAACAAGCCAGTAAGCGACACTGGTTCATGCAGCTATGGAAATTGGGAAGAGGCATGATTTTCTGACTGAAAACTGGAAATGCAGAAAAGCTGAGCACGTATTTCAGTCTTCATCCAAAGGCTTGAGAATCTGAGAACTAATGAAGTAAGAGCAGTCTGAGAGATGAAGAGGATGTGATGAGATGCTCCAGCTCAATCAGTGCATCAGAAACAGATAAATTTCTCAATCCTTAAAAAAAAAAAACTCCAAGTTTAAGAGTACATGCAGAATTATATCAATTGTATATTTCAAATGGACTGAGTGAATCTTTGTACTCTATACCTAAGGCTCAGGAAACATAGAACAAGGGGTAAAGGGACACTAATAATATGTCAGTTCTCATTAATGAAGCTCCCTCATGCAACAGAGGACCAGGAACACAGGGGGTCACAAATGACCAAAGTGTAGAGATTAAGAGTCTGCCGAATGTTGGTTCTTTAACAGGACTCCTATATTGAACTTCACCCATCCAGGGCTAAGGGACCATTAAGGATTTAAGAGCCAGGGAGGAGGTACATATGTAAGAAGAGTCTTGCAAGCTCCTGGGACTCTGTTCATATAAACCTACAGCAATATTGTCAACATGCACAAACCCATGCAGACTCAAGCAGATAAAGACCCAGCATGAAACTGGGGAGGTGGACAGTAGACCCCAATCTTAGCTGAAGAAATATTGGTGACTGATTCCTGTTGGGTGAGGGGGAGCTGTTCTTCCTGAGGTGAGGAGGCACTCTGGATGGGCTGATGGACTTCAGTGGATGAACTTGTACCAAGGGGTATCTGGGTCCACTGGCTTGATGCAATGGACCTTAGCACAGATGGCAGAATATATGATTTCTGGTGGGATGGGGGGCTATGGGAGGGTACCAGTGGAGAAGGAGGTATAGAGATGATTAATATTGATTGCGATGTTCTGTGTGGGGTACACAAGAATTCAGTTAAAAATACATATACAAAAAAAATACAGTATGTGTAAACTTGTATATGTCCATATTTAGAGGCATCTGTCCATCTATCATCTATCTAACTATCATCTATCATCTATCTATCTACCTATCTGTTTATCATCTATCTATTATCTATCTATCTATCTACCTATCTATCATCTATCATCTATCTTCTGTCTATCTATCTATCATTGATCTATCTACCTATTATCTATCTATCTACCTATCTATCATCTATCATCTATCTATCTGTCTACTTGTGGGTCTGACCTCTGTTAGTCTCAGGGCACCTAAATCAGATGAACTTCTATAATATTCTTACCTATATCAGCATAAATTTTTTTGGTTCATATCAAGTTTATTTTTTATTTGGTATTGGAGATTGAATCTAAGGCTTTATACATAGTAGACAAATGCTTTCATCACTGATCTACATTCCCTAGCAAGTTTTAAGGCATAAAAGGGGTGGTTTTGCTTTTCAGCTCTTAGGTCCCTCATAATTCTTATTCTTGTTTTTGCAGGGGCATCCTTTTGAGACAGGGTCTCTGTAGCCTCCGTTGGCCTGAATTCGCCATATAGAGCAGGTGGGTCTCAAGCTCTCTCTGCCTCAGGAGTGCTGGGATAAAAGGTGTGTGCCATGCATGGCCTCTGTTCATAATTCTCTTTTTTTATTCTACCAAACATGTCTTGATGAGTGTCATGGTTCACTTTCTTAAATGTGCTAAATATAATACTAAATACAATTTATCTTGTAAGTATTAATAGTGTGGCAGAATTCGTAACTGAAAAAAAGCTCAATAGAAAAAGCTACAGAAAAAGTGTTGGCATGGTGACATCAGCCACCATTTTCTTTCATATGTCCACTGGAACATGTTGAACAATCCTCTCACATACCACCTGAATGATTTCATCGGTTATGGGATTATAAATAAAAAAAACATTTAATGTAATGAATTTGGAATCATGGAAGCAAATTTAAGTTAATTTTCCAATACTCCCACTTATTGGCTATGTGATCTTAATAAAAGTGTTCTTAACTCCTCAGTGTCTCTCATCTTAAAACTAACAGTAATTCATGGCTTGGTGCCTATAATAAGTGGCTATTAAAAGGATGCAGATGCTTGGTCTTAAAGTCTTTGTTTTGGCTACTGATTTTAAGCTTTTCAACCATTCCTGTAAGTTTAAAGCTACAAATTTACCTCTAAGTCATATTGTACAAGTTTCCCATAAATATTTAGTCTTAAAGACATTCCTACTAAAATCCACTTTGAAATTTTTTCCAATTTTACTCTGTTCCTCATTTGATCTAAAGATCACTTAAAATATTTTAAATATCCAAATACATAGGTTGTTGATGAGTATCTGATTTTTAAATTAAATTTTCATTATATTTATTTTATTAAGGAAATATACTATGAAAAAGTGCTGTTTTTTATTTTACTCAGATCTTGGTGAACAAGGGTATTAGCATTTGAAAATACTGAATTTCACCTTAGAGGTCTATAAATATCAAGTCGTGTGGCTGATACTGTCCTTCACATTTTCCACATCTTCCCTGATTTTGTTTTAACAGGGAATAAAACCATTGTTTAAATGTCCAGTTTATGACTGCAGATTTTTCTATTTCATTTTTTCTGACAGGCTTAGCTTCACTTATTTCAAATCAAAACTATACTTTATAATTCTTATATATAGTAAATGGGAAATTTATTTTTAATTCAACTCTCCCCCTTTCCTCAATTTCCAAACCTCGGGCAGCAGAAATTTAAGTCATAATGTTATCATAGCCAGTCAAAAATAGATGTCCAAAGATATTTCTGGCTTCCAGAATTATGTCTTATTTCAGTTTTAAAACTCATACAGTTGGGATGCTGAGATGGATATACAGGTAAAGGTGCTTGTCACCAACCCTGAGAACTTGAGCTGGAACCCAGGAACCAAGGAGATCAGTGAGAGGACAGACTCTCATATGTTGTCCTCTTATTGCCAACACATACTGTGGCAATTTCATGCAAATAAATAAAAAAGTAATCAATTAATTAATTTTTTAAATAATCTTTTAAAATGATGTCTGGAATCTCAGTGTAATCTATAAAACATGCATGCCTTAAATAAGTGCAAAGGCTCTGATGACCATTCTCAGTGGAGGAATATCTCAGTCAGTCACACCAAGTTATCTGTAGGGAGTGTGGGTGCTTCCACATATTGAAACTTAGCTATCTTTGAGGGTGTTCATCACCTGTCACTACTATGGACATCATTTTAGAAGAGGGCCAATAATCATGACCTCCCTTGGGTGGGTCCCATGAATCCTCCTTACCCTCTGAGGAATGAATGAATGAATGAGTTATGGGTAGCTGGTGGAAGGGTGTCATTTTCTTCAGTGGTGTAGCCACTGATACATTGCTCATGCTCCAATAAATAACCTCTCACCCATGCTGTGGCAAGCAACTCTAGCTAAACTCAGTGGGTCTCACACAAAAAGAAGAAATGAAGAGGGAGACTTTTTTGAGAATACGTTCAGCATGAGACAAAAATGAATGAGAAAGAGGAATAGGACATAAAAACTACTAAGATATATTATATGCATGTATGAAATTGTCAAAGAACAAAAACAAAAAAATCTTAGAAGTGTATATTTTGATTTATTATCAATGATTGAATTAAACTGTATTTTGTTTAGACACTGTTGGATTTTTATTGTAAGACAAGGAAAACTAAAACAGAACAGCTTTAGAACATTTATTACTTCAGTTTAGTAATTAGCATCATGACAATAATCTTGAAACAATTATGGTAGACTTTTGATTAAGAAACATCTGAGACTATGATAATAATAACAAAAAGTAATGGGTATTTAAAAGATAATAAGAATTCATTTGAAATGTCCTGGTTATTTCCTCATGGCTTCCTCTGCTAAAGACCTTACACTAGTCTCCAAGGAGGAATGAAATTCAAAGCCTTATTAAATGTCCCACAAAGACTAAGGTGATGCAACCACCATCCACTGTCAAGCTTAATTTTAAATATTATTTCATTAAATCTGGTTAGTTCCAATACTTGTGAATGTAAACCATGGCATATGAAGGAAGATCCCATTTAAAACTTCCCAGTCCTCCCTCCCTGGATTAGCCTTCTTTCAGACATGCATGGTGTGTGTGAACAGTGCTCCAATAGCACTTCCTCACAGAGACCTACCAGACTTTAGAAGGTGAGGCAACAAACAACATATCCACCCACAACTTGGCCTTCTCTGAATACTTTCAACATATCTGAAAAGTGTCTATTAAAGTGCAAAATTGATAAAAGAGCTCAGAAAATTGTTCCTTAATGATATGTATAGAAGTGTGTATTGACACTTAAAAAATCGAAAAACCTCCCATGCTCATGAATTAGTAGAATTAACATTGTGATAATGACCATCCCAAAAGCAATCTACATATTTAATGCAATGTCAACCAAACCCCTCGTTATGTTTTTCAAAGAAACAGAAAAAAAAAATCTTACATTTCAAAGGGAATCACAAAAGACCCGAGATAGCCAAAGCAATGAACAAAAAGAGCAACGTTAGGGGGATTACCATATCAGATCTCTAACTACATTACAGAGCTATAGTCATAAAAACAGCATGCTGCTGGCACACACACACACACACACACACACACACCATAAAAACATGTAGATCAATGAAACATAGTAGAAGTCGCAAAAAATAAGTGCATTCAGTTTTAGTCACCTGATATTTGATAAAGGTGTCAAGAATACACAGTGGAGAAAATACAGCATTTTCAACAAATGGTGCTGGCAAAACTGAATCTCCACATGTAGAAGAATGAAATTAGACCCTTATCTTTTAAAAGTCAACTCCAAATGGATCAAAGACCACAAACGAAACCCAGAACTCTGAAACTGTTATAACAAAACATGGGCTATACCCTACAAAATATTGGTTTGGGGAAGTACTTTCTAAATCAGACACCGTTTGCTCAGACATTAAAGACAACAATTGACAAGTGGGACCTCATTAAACTAAAACAAACAAGGAAGTGTAAAATGAAACCTACTAACTGGGCAAAAATCTTCACCACCTACACATCCAAAAGAGGGTTAATATTCAGAATATACAAAGAACTCAAAAAGAAAGAAACAAGAAGGCAAACAAGAAGGCCAAGAACCTGATCAGAGAGTTCTCAAAAAATGAGGTAAAGATGGTTAAGAAACACTTTAAAAGTGTTCAATATCCTTAGTAATTAGGGAAATATAAACCAAAAGCACTTTAAGATTTCTTCTTACCCCAGTCAGATTATCTAACATAAGGAGAATAAATGATACCAAATGCTGGCAAGAATGTGGGGAAAGCAAAATGCTCATTCACTGCTGGTGGAATTTCAAATTCATACAAACACTATGGAAAGCAGAGTGACACACTCTAAAAATATTATAACAGAATCTACCTCATGATCTCATTATATCACTCCTTGACATACACTCAAAGGTCTCAATGTGCTGTAGAGATACTTGTATACCCATTTCTCTTTCTGCTCTTTTCACAATGGGTAAGAAATTTAAACAACATAAATGTGCTTCAATTGATGAATGAATACTAGAAATATAACACACTTACACAATGGAGTTCTACTCAGCTGTAAAGAAGATGAAATAATGAAATTTGCAGGCAAATGGATGGAGAAACTGACACACAAAGTGAGGAACATACACTCAGAAACACAAGGAACACATGTTCTCCCTCATTTGTGACTCTTAGCACAAATCCTTATATGTGAGTATATATCCTGAGGAAAATGGAAAAGACCCACAGAAGGAAAGATGAAACCCAAGAGAGGGGAATAGTAGGAAACAGATGTTACCAAGGGGGAAATGGGGGAAAGGGGGGCATCCAAACTGGGAAGGGAGGAGGAAAGGATATAAAAGGAATCATAGGGATAAAGGGGAAGAAGGAGCTCGAGAGAGGGGGGTTAATAGAAGACAGGTATTTTCAAGGATAAAATGGGGACATGGGGGTACTTTAACGGGGGAGGGAGGATAGTAGACAGAAAGAGGAGAGATAAATAAAGTTTAGTAATGTGAAAAACCCAACGGAAATATATTATCTAAAAAGCCTACTGAAAAATATACATACAGAAACAGGATTGCATGTGTATATCTGAAGGCTATATAACAAGGAACAATGCCAGACAGGAGAAACCTCCCTACCAGCTGTTGTTTAGAGTTGTCAAAGAGACTTCTGGAATAACACATACTATTTCCAAAGTTTTAGATTACTTACTAGAACTTTAAGGTAAGACACTGTTGCAGAAGATAGGACGTGTTTCAGACACAGGATGTGGAGCAATGGAGCTAAAATAGGCCGGGAAGTCTCCCTGAAGACTAGCTCTCATATACTAGAGGATATTAAGCAGTTTGCTAAGGGAGAAATCAATAGTCTAACCCAGTTCTAAAGACTAACAACCACCACAACTGGCACAACAAACTATCTCTATTGGTGCAGTACTGGCATTTTTATCTAAGGGGGTAATCAACAGCTTTGAAATTGGACTTAAAGCGCCCTCAACGGGAGGGAACTCATGGGTAGTACTGTAAATATAGCCAAATACATATGGCTGGAGAGGTCATAGATCCTATCTCTGTCATATCTCTAGAAAAATGAAATTTCTTACTCTATGCTAAATATGAATCCATATATTTTCAGACAAGCATACTGTACACCACTCATCAAAAAGCTTCTTTTTGCAACAGATTGAAGATATTACAATTTCTACAACTGGTCACACACAGAGAATACATATCTGAGACATTCCCAGCCCTAAATGACACATTTACAGTGGAATCTCTGACATGTAACATTCACGGAACATTGCAGAACAGGCGGTAGAGCAAATGCTAATGCATCCACAACTCGCTGTTTTAGAAAATACGAGACTACAGAGTACATGTTCCTGGAACAGCTGAGCATCAGTTTGTGATCCCAGTGTGTGTCCTTAATGAATACTGATGATTAGTGATTTTGCTAAAACATCAAAAAGTACTGATATAAAATATTGAAAATATGGACCAAAATGAGATTCAGATTCTTTCCTTGCTCTGCTATTTTAATTCGTGTATAACTTTAAACTCTGTTCACAGGGAAAATGAGAACTTTTCTAATTTCGGGTTCTTTATAATTTTATTTCATATTTTTTTATATCTTTTTGGTATGGTGTGCTTACTAGAGTGTTTTGTCCATTATGACCTGATAGTAATCTAGAGGAAATATGCATCTATGTAGTTTCATTTACTGACTTTGTGAGCCTTATGTTGCAGATGCATAATCATACCCAGTGATGTTCTCGCAGGTACTGCATCTTTGTTGATCCAAAAAGACACCCAAGATAGAACAACTGTTAGGATGCAGGGTATGTAGGTCTGAATAGTGAAATAGCCCATTCGTCTGCTCAGGTCAAAGAAAATTGTCATGATAATATAATCCCCTAGAAGAAAAAAAAATCTATTTAGTTTAAAATATACTCCCTAATTGATATATCTAAATACCTATGGTTTTCCCCCTTAGCATTATTCCCTGCCCTGTATTTTCTCCTTACCAGAGATTGTGTGGGAGATTTCAGTTGAGTTTCGTAAGCCTACAAAGGCAAACTGATACAATCTCCAATACTTAGGATCAGCCACTTCTACGGAGGGTTTTTTCCACTTATACTCAATTTCATTTTTAGGGTATCCATCTAGAGAGAAAATTATGACAAAAGATATGTAATTTAGCAATATTCAAACAAACTACCACCACAATATAATATCATCAATAGAAGAATATTTGAACTTCATCCCTAGTTCATCATAAGGTTTGTCAAATATATAAAATATTAACTGGAATATGTGTGTACACTTTAAAGAATCACCGTAGTTATGTGCCTCCATTTGCCCTGTCTGTTTTATTCCAGTTTGTACTGATCTCTTTATGGAGCCCAGAGTGGCCTGAACCTTGGAACTTATCTAAGCCTCTCACATGCTAGGATTAAAAGGTGTGCACTACCATGGTCTGAAAATTTCTGTATTCTGATAGACTTTCTCCCAAAAGACCATCAAAGCCAATGTATGATATTACCATGTTTTGAAACTATCCTCAAGTCTAAACTGATTATAAACTTGCCATTCTGGTTTCAACTTCTTACATGAATTCAGCTGGCTAAATCTTTTCCTAATTGAGATCACTCATATATCTTTTGGAAATTTTTAATAAATTGAATTTTTTAAAAATTTATTTTATGTGTATGTGTGTATTGCCTGCATGTAGGTAAGTGCACCTGTGTTGTGCAATGCCCGTGGAGGTCAGAAGAGGCTGTCGGATCCCCCAGAACTGGAGTTATGGACAGTTGCCAGCTGCCATGTGCATGCTGGGATTCGAACCTGGGTCTTCTGCAAGAACAACCAGTGT